TACATTTTCTGATATTTGTTATACTCAAAGTTTGCTTCGTATTCATAAGTAGATTTGCTTCAGGCATATAGCCAGAAATCGTGAGTAGTTAGGCATTTGCTATTATTTGAATAATAGATATTATAAAAATCTTAATGATTTTCATATTTACGTTCATTTTACAAATGGCAAACTGTTATATGAATCCATTTGACATTATCTGAGCCAAATGGCAACCATATGAGTTACCTTAGTTTTTCCTTTTTGTCAATAATGACTATAATTTGTGGATAAATTTACGATATTCGTGGTATATTAAGTTTGATGCTTAGAATGATGAATGTCTAAGTACCAGCTAGCAGTATTGCTTTATCTTGTAAAAGGTATACGTCCAAAGTAAAAAGGGTTTAGACCGAGAATTATCTATTGACATAGATCAGTCAAGGCACTAGGCCAATATGAATACAACAGCACAAACTTGCTGCAAAAAAATGTATTTAACTGTTGCATAATCATTATTCCCTGTTGTCCACTGTGAGATCCTTTTCCGTGTTTTCAGTATTTGAAGTGGCCTGCTGGATTTGTTGAAGTTCAGGGTTGAAATCTTTCTGTTCTTTTGATTCGTAATTCAATCTTGCTAAATCAGCTTGGTGCTGATCAACACTAGCATCTAGGTTACTGGGGTCTCGAGCTCCAACTCCCTGGCCGCCTGAAGGCGATGGCAACGGTCGTTGGCCTCCTTTCTGCATAAGAAAAGTTATCTCCTCTTTTAAGCTGGCTAACTCCGCAGCTTGAGCCTGTTTCAGTGCAAGTAACTGGTTGACTTCACTTGTCCAATTTATGCTCGAACTGCTTTGTATTTCAATAGACTATACAAATAAAATACAAGTAAATTTATCTTAAATTACAAAGGTGCTTGTATAATAATACTAAATGCTAAACCCTTTACTGAGTAAAGCTGTATGGGGCAGTTTACGTGTAAATACCTATCACGCATTTAGGGACTCTGCTAAATTTGTTCTTGAACCTAGTATTACAAGGATACATCTATGATCTTATTCCTATTGCTCATATAAAGTTGGCTCGCCCACACATAAAGAAGGTCTAGCTCTGATTATGACCTTTCTGACATATCTTGCGGCTGTTACTAATGATGCCTTTCCTCTAAAGACCGCAGTAGCCAGAATATGCAAGTTGAATGTTTGCCCGTCAAATGAAGAAACTCATACGACTCTTTACATTATTGAAGGATTAGGGATATTGTTTGAGCTGTGTTTTCCAGCAACTTATTTGTATGCTCTTTTGAAGCAAATTTATTTCAATTTGAATACCAAATTCTTGTATATATATATTTATGTGGAGTCTGCGCGTAAGCGAGCAGCTAACAATAACTCAAGAAAATTATTTTAGTGTATTCAGCTGATTTGACCATATTGTCTAAGCCTGCATTCTACGATCAATTTGGAAATAGTTTAGCTTAATCTGACATCGCAAAATGTAACAGTTTTAAGACCATAATTTCTTAATCGTTTCAATA